TGTATGATCTCATACGTGGAATCTTAAAAAAATCATAGGGGAATTTTTGTAAAAATCCTTCATTTATATGTAGCCTGAGGTTCAAGATTTCTCTCCTCGGGCGGACCCTGGACTCTATCCCTACCCCCTGTGCCACTAACAGTTTATGAATATCAAGGCTCAACCTCACTCCTACCAAAAGGCAGAAGCTTTCAAGGTAAAAACTGCCTGCTGTGCTTCACTCGCCATAGAGAGCCCCCAGTGGTACTTAGCTTTTGGCCTCTCAATACCAACTTGCCAACACACTGATGCATTTGCGACGTCTGCCGTTTTCCACCCAGTGGTGTCAGCGCTTACCGAGACTGACTCCAGGTCCATCACAGCAGGAAACCGCAGTCAGGGCTGACTGTTACTAAACTCGTACATACACATAGAATTGTGCTGCTAATAAAACGTTCTGAATTGAGTTCCAAATTTAGTATCTCTTCTATACCTGATGAAAATGAGCAGATAATAAATTTGCCTTCCAAAATCCATAATTGCAGCTTATCGTCCCCACCAGTAACTACAAGGAGTTTTTCACTAGAGAAAAAAAAAATATGATTGAATAATCCAAATTAGCCTGGGCAAGAAAACAAGCAGCTGCCTCAAATGAAATGTTTGAGTTATGACCACGTGCCACGTTGGTTTATCTGCAGCCAAAATGTACAGGATCCTTATTCAGTCCGCCATGTTGCCGGGGAGGGCCTGGTTGCCCTGAATCGGAGCTGCCTGGCGATGAGTAAGAGGTTTCCGTGACACACAAGTTCAGACCTTGCAACTCTGTTTTTGTCATTTGAGCTTTCTTCTCTGTTGTAGCTAGGGATCCGTCGTGGAATTTAAACACTTGTATAGTAACTCCATTCCTTCAGCCATTGTGTTTGTTAAGCTCTAGCTAACGAACTTTTAACACTGACTCCATATAAGGAAAGACCTAGAAAATGGCAGTAATCAGCATTTCTGGTTTTATAGCTAAAGCTGTGTGTTTTGTATGCCTTCAGGCAAGTAAGATGCTCTTGCCTGTCTAGTCCAGCTGCTCCCCCCAAAGTGGGCTTCACACTGTGTGTAAAGAAAAAGGAATAAAACCAAAGTCCACCTAAGAAAGCTCAGATGAAGTAGTGACTCTCAAAAGGCATTGCACCTATTGTAACAGAAACTTCACAATGCATGCCTGCTTTAAGACTTAGGAACTTTGCCTAAAATAGAGGAACCAAAATTGCATAATCTTTGAAAAGGTGAGAGCTGCCAAATGCACCCATAAATGTGTACTTTGTGTCACGTGGCCCTTTCCTTCCAAGCCAACAGCTTCGGTTGCCCAGGGAGAGCCTCTAGCTACTGTCACAAAGAACATTTCTGAGACCCATATGGACTGTGTGCACATTGGCTTGCTGAAGGCGAGTTTTGACTTTAAGTCTCTGAGCTTCATTTCGCTTCTAAACATTGTTTTGCAACACAAACCAGATGACTAAAAGAGAGGAGAATGAATTTCTTCTCCAAGTCCTAAACCAGTTCTGAAGATCATCCTGGAGGAGAAAATTCAAATATGGTTTTAACGATGATATAATAATTTGACATAAAACATCTCAGTGCTTATTGCTTTGAAGAATTACTCTTTACTTAATGTGTAAACCAATCACCAATGTCTTATATCATGGTCTCATCGCTTTGCAAGACTAGATTTGCTTTTTGCAACTTTTTTTCTCGAGCTGTGGTGATATTATAAAGAGTAGTTGTATACTGTTATTTAGGCAACACAGAGGAATGTGGCTATGTAATTTTGTTTGTCAAAGACAAGTGAGGAAAAAGCTTTGAAATCGGAAGTTTCCTTTCAAGTCTTCACTCACACCAAAGTAATCACATTATTTCTGCTTTTATAAAAAGTGCAACAACTTTTCCAAGAAGTATTGCTATATTGCAGACTCAAAGTTTAAATATTGCAGATATTATCTTTAAGTTGCAGTAAGACAAAGTGGCTTTATCAGCTCTAGAGTCAAAGCATGAAGTATGTGCACTTTCATTTTTTAGACTTTCAGGATGGTTTTCTGGGCACATATTGGATTCTTATTTTTGAAGAACCAACTGCCTAAATCATGCACTGAAGTTCTGACACATTATTTTGTTTTCAGATGGATGGCAAGAATATTACTACAGGTGACTTTCAGTCTTACTAATGCCTTAGACTTCCTCAGCTTTAAGCACACTCTGTTTCCTGCCCTGTACTGCCTTTATTTAATTCATTTGCTACATGTAATCCTCTACTCTGTCAAATCCACCTTCGTGTGTTTAAATCCAATTCATTCTTCAGGAATACTTCTGTGCCCCACCCGGCATGAAACTTTCCCTAATTCCCCACCCCAACCCCGACACCAAGCACAGTTCATCTGTCTGCTCTAGGCCTCACGGCCCTTTCTTTGTCTCCGTTAGGGCAGTGGCTAAATTTCCTCCTTTCAGTATTCGCGTCTCTCCAGCCTCTGGAGGGCAGAGGTTCAGGCCTGCTGATAGTTCTTCTCACTGATACATACCTGATGAATACTCATTCTTGTTGAAAATGAAAACTAAATTTTCTAAATATATGTTTGTTTTATAAACATCTGTGCGGTCTGTCTTTCTAAAAATATATATTGTACCAGAAGATTAAGACTGAGGTATCCTTTCCTAAAATGGTGGTATCCAAATACACAGTTATGTCACCGTGTACCTGACACATTATCAGGTGAAACATTGTACTCACCTGAAGACTTTCACTTTTAATCATAATCAATTTAAAGTAAAATATTTGAGGGTTTGGGGTTGTTTTTTTTGTTTGTTTTGATTTGGTTAGGTCTGGTGTTTTCAATCGGAATTTCTTGCGTAACTGTTAAATTCTGGTCCCATACAGTCCAAAGTTTGAAATTTCACTCTATCAAAAGTGAGGACATGATTTCATTGTCTTGGAAAGTTTATACAAAATCTCCAGACCACGAAATCGGTTATGTAAATCTTTACTGAACAATGGTAATAAACAAACGACTTTCTGGAACTAAGTGTGTCAAAAATCAGGCGGAGAGAGGGATCAGGCGAGCAATGTATACACCCAGCATGTCTGCATATGCCCTTTGATATCATTTCAACCCACTTTAAACCATAATTTAGTGATTCCTCATTTCCTAAAATTAACTCACGTTTCCTGAATTCCGGTTATTTTAATAAACTTCGTTTAGATTTTACTTTCTGGTGACATATTATTTTTTCAACACCTGAACCATATTTTAAGATCTTTGAGAGCAAAAATAATTTGTGCATGAACATTACTCACCAAGCCACAAAAGTAATATTTTGTTACTAATTTTATCTCATCTGTAATTTAGTCTCTGCCAATTTTCATCATGTTACTTGTTGAATGAAAGGCCTAATGCTTAAAAAAAGGCCTTTCCAATTCTTTAATAAATATGTCAGTTATACCAAAGGCTTTTTCAAACACTTAAGCATAGAATTTCACTGCATTTTACTTGTACGACCATGACATCAACATACACACACACCCTTTAAATTCCTTACAGAAGAGTTTCTTCTCATTAATCTGTCCTGGCTGTATCTAATCAAATTATGTTTTTCGAGATAGTCTGTCTTCTCTGAAATCGTTTCTAGCATATACCTCTTCACTAGCTCGGTCCCAATTGAGTGCCAGCTGAGTGATTCACTTTCGGTAATGGTATTTGTCATTTTCTAGGAAATACAGTTTCTTTACTCATCAAACAACAGTAGATCAAAACTACCAACAGTATTTAAATTCAGATCATCTGAATGAACAGTGCTCAAATGGTAGCACATGGCCGAATGAATCACCTTTGTCTTCAAGCAGCAAAAAGGTTAAGGCACTACCTACGTTATGACTTAATTTTCTTGAAATTTATCAGACAAGAAATGAAAATGTTATAGAGTCTTAGCTTTTGTCTTGAACCACTAAAGTTCTCTTAGCGAGTAATTTTTCACCTAGATCTTCAATCCTGGGATCTCTCATCCTTTCGAAACCAGTTAATTAAAACACACAGTCACCTTATGGAACTTCCACATTTGGGTAAAATGAGAACAAAAAAATTAAATAACTTTCATAATGTGACATAAGCCGGCATTTCAGAGCCAGAAGTACAAAAATGTGTCTCTACTCCTAAACTCCCGCTTCCCCATTTCTTTTAGGAGCTGAAATTTGTGCCATCCTGGTTAATGTTTTGACAGATTTTATCATAGACCTTGCTGTTGTAAATTTGCCTTGAGCCAAAATTGAACATGTTGTAAGCTCAGAAAGAGTTTTTACTGTTAGTGACCAGAAAAGGAAAAAAATCAATTATGCTGTTTTGAATGATCGGAGTATAGAGTTTAACCCTTTAAAAGTTACACACTACTTGACATTTGGAAGAAAGTCTCACTCCGTGTGTTTAGGGCCTCCCAATTGTCAGTACAGTGCGTGAGAACATGCTTGTGATCAGCACAAGGGAGAAAATACTGAAGGAATGTTATGTGGCTTAACCATGTTCCACTAAATTTTATAACCAAAGAATTATCCTTATATTTTTAACGAAAAGGCCCTTTGCCTTAGTACATGGAGTAACAATTTTAAGCCCTTAACCTGTGATTGATTCAAAATCTAGGGGGTAACCACTCTGTTTCCAAATACTTTATCAGCATGTCCCTCTGTTAGACCCTATTTTATGGTATCTGTCATCTACTGTTTTATAGCTACTTAGAGTACTTTATTAAACACACTCCCAATCATTGCTATTCCTAATAGCCTACAGTTCTAGATTTTTTTCTCTAAAACATTTTCATTGACCATGACCATTAATATTTACCCATAAATGCATTTGTACACAGGCTCAACCATAGCACATCGGTGAAGAAAAAAAGAGTTGTTAACCAGTTCTTTATTCTAGAATAAATCAAATCAACAAATATTTATTGAGTGTCTACTATGTGCAAATAACCCTGGACTGATCAACTTTTAAAAGCCATCCAACTTTTCACATTGAAAAATCAAAGCATTATCATTTCAAACATTGCAGAAGCAGCTTCCATGTCCTTTTGGTGAGAAAGTCTGTGAGGACCATGGAGCTACTTGGGATAAAGAAATACAAGGAAGAGAAAGCAAATTCCCAGACCAAACAGAGGAGAAAGATAACCTAAGACATCACCATCGAGGGACTGCATCAAGTACGTATTTGTGTCTGTGCCTGTGTGTGAGTGTACAGTATGGATGTGTGCATGTATTTACATACACATATATGTACAAAAAGAAGAATGAGTGAATCTGAGAAATAAATGGACTGTTAAGGTGACATAAGAATGGGCATTTACCTCTGAGTCCAGAGATTTGCTTTAAAAGGAGCTTAATAGTTCAGCTAGTGTCCAGTTCTATGACACTATGAAACCAAAGTATATCATGGTGTAACAGAAAGATCACTCGACTGGGCACCCCAAGTTCTAAAAGCTAAGTTGTTCTAAAGCATATTAGGAGGTGACTTCATCAAACAATAGATTTATAATAGAAGTGACTTCTACATCATTACTGTAGAAACTTGCTGTTCCGTCCTAAATAAGATGCTAATTTGAAGAGGCTCATAAATAAGAGAGCAACTTAAAAGTTCAAGGTTCATAATTGTTATTAGAAGCTAAATGAAAACTACCAGTAAGAAACAAAACCTGTATACTTAATTATACTATATTATGTAATGCTATTTTATTACACTGTAATATTTTATGCTATACATAATACTATACTGTATTATATTACATACTGTGCTATAATAGTCTATGTATTTCATTTAGCTTCTGTAAAACAGAAAATAATATACTATCCACCACATCAAATAATTAACTGTGTCCTTAATGAGGCGTAAAAGAGCTGCTGAGCTAATTTCCAGTTTTACCAGATAGAACTAATCCTGGCTCCTTTGCACAAAAAGTAGGTCTGTGTTGGTCATTGAAGATATTGTCATTGATAATCTCACAGGGGATGTCCGATACCAGTTGTAAAATATTTGCGTGGGAGAAGTAATTTTTAATGTCAATTTTTGCCTCCTCTTGGTAGGTTAGGTTTAATTTCTCATGAAAATCAGAGCAGACCCTTTAAATAACCTTTTGAAGCAGTAGCTTTTATTTTTCCTAAAGTGCTTAAGTTAATGTCTTAATTTTTGTGTGTGGGGGAAAAAAGTCTCTGTAGCTCTATTATTCAGAGTTTATACTCCGGTTGTGAAATTGTTGGTTATTAAGATCACTTCAGAGCAAAAATATGTTCTCCTATATCTTTTTAATTATTTAATACTTATCATTTATTTTCAAAGCATATTCTAGTTCCTCTGTAGTAAACTTTTTATTTCTTCTCAGCAAGTCTTTCCTTTCTTTGCAAAACCATACTGCTGGCCTTTGTAGATATCGTATCTGAAGCACTTCCAATGTGTGACGACATTGGTTTGAGTTCTTTCATTTACTTTCCTGGTATGTTGTAATCAGTGTCTTTGGATATATTCTAAATAAAATTTCACTTCGATTATCCAGATCTAATGCTTATGTTCATGAAAAACATATGTTCAGAGTTGTTTCTTATTTTCGTTTTCCCTTTCCCCTCCTTGGACCAGAATTCCCAGTGCAGAGACCCTCTCGCCTCGGGCCTCGTCTGGATTCACCTGCCCCCTTGTGGCATTCCTCTCAGAATAGTTTATTGATTTCTGAATTTTGGATTTGGTATCACATGGCCTGAGAAGGGAAATCTCATTACTCTTGTCTAACAGTATAAGGTCAGAAAAGTTTCTTCTGTTAGTCACTGACTAACATAAAAAGGTGGAGGGAGTTTTGTTGTTATTGTTTTTTTTTTAATTCAGAGCACAAGAAGGAAACTGGAACCATAAGAAATGGGTATCTTGGAATACATGATGCTTTGTCTAGAATCAGTATGAGTGGCTTGCAGGTTGATAAACTAAAGAGATGTTTCAGAAACTCTCATAAACTTAAAATCCAGTTCTTCTACATCAGTGTCTCCTTGTTTAGTGAGTAGAAGAGGAGGGATGAATACTATTCTATTTTATTTAAACTGTAAATAGATTTTCTATTTTCTTCCTTCATCAGAATGAATTCATAAATATAAAAAATTAAACATCGTATTCTGTATAGTCAGATATGTTTCACATGATTGATACAAACAGGTTTTTGTTTCACCCTCTCTTTGAAAAGGAACTCCCCAGCTGGGAGAGGGGAGGGGGGAATGGGAGGAAAGGCACAGGGAATAAGTAGCATAAATGGTAGGTACAAAATAGGGGAGGTTAAGAATAGTATGGGAAATGGAGAAGCCAAAAAGGACTTATATGTACAACCCATGGACATGAACTAAGGGGGGGAGATTGCTGGAGGGAGAGAGGGTACTGGGTGGAGGGGCAAAGGAGAAAAAATGGGACAACTGTAATAACATAATCAGTAAAATACACTTAAAATTAAAAAATTCAAAAGGGACTCTTTCACATGCCACCAAACCAATTTTACATCTTCAGTTGAAGTCAAGAGAGTTTGCACATGGAAAACGGATGAGTGTGTTCAGTGGGTGAGTTACTGAGCCACCCACCAACTCAGGGACATTTTGCAAGAGTAAGGAATTAAGAATTAGGCCTCGAGTTAATAAAGATGAAAGAAAAAGGTGGGGGGAGCACTATTTATTTAAATAATTTTTCTTTCCGAGAAGGAATAGGCAGATTAATAAATGGTTGTTAATAAGACTCCAAGTAAAATTTTAGAGATCCCTTTTCTGTCTGTAAACTGTAAATATTTCTAGTGGAAAATATGTCTCTTTCAGCGCTCTTTCTCCTCTCGCCCTTGCCCTCCCCCAAAGTTAGATCTGACTGAATAATAGTGATCCTCTGTGGCATTTTAAACCTCATGTTACCTCACTGAAGATCTAGAAGAAGAAACACTCTGCAGGCTTTAAGAAAGCTATTTGTCGTCCAGCTCCCAAATTTCTAGTGCCCACGGCTCCTTAGCAGTTTCTCATACATTTGCAACAGTTGACCTACTAACAGGTTCCCAGAAACACAGGTTCAAATTTTGGCAGGCTTACCTCACCTCTTTGTCCTTCCAAAGTACATAAATGCTAAACTGTGTTCACAGTGAGGAAGGGAGAGTCATTCCAATGAGACTTTTAAAACCAAGACCCTTTCTTGTCCCTACCAAGTAACTGCCATCGTCGCCAAAGGCATAAAGTTTCCTCAGTGTGCCCTTGGCATAATTTCTTCAGCCTGGATTAAACACAGGTGACTGGAAGTCTACCTTATCTCCACAGGGCATTAGTCACTCTATAAAAGTTAAATTTATTATGAAATGTTTTGTTTGTGTTAACATATATCTTCTCTGGGAAGCTGGAAACAAAGGCATGTCCTTTAAGACTCCATATGGGGAAAACACATCCTCCTGTGGAATTTAACCTTAATTTGAACCAAGATCTGTGAAAGAAAAGCACTTTGGTGTATTGTTTCCTCGCTCCACCCATCATCCCCTTATCTAAATGAGGTTACTGTTGCTTCGTGGGTTTTTAACTCTTCCCATTCCAAACCCTGCTTTTCTGAGTTCAAAATTTATCTTAGAAGAGAAGTGCATTAAAATCATTGTGGCAAACAATTATGCTTTGCTTTTAAGGGTAAGTGGTTTTGTGTAATATATTAACTTTGAGACCTTTAAAAGTGAGTGAATGTACAGCCAGTTTATGTTCCTATATCTTAGTGCTCATTTTGTTGTTTTAACAAATGGTACATTGTTAAGAAGGTTTAACTTCCTAAGAATTGTATTACCTGAACATCTTCTCTGAAATTGATTCACTTACTACTGAACATTGTCATGTATGCAGAGTTTGTACTTTATTAGAAGAATAATCAGAAGGAAGAGAGTTTACATTAGAGATGATGATGAGGTATGTTTGAAAGACCAGTGTTCGACCTCTGTTTTTCTTCAGTCCGTTGCAAAGTCTTATAATGTTTTGAATGTATCTAAATCCATAGATGCTCCAACGTTTTTTAAAAACAAAACCAAGACTTCTAATTGCTGCTACACTCATCATAACAGACCAGTTGTTCATAAGGACCAAGGAAACTATTTCCAAAAACAACCTTTAAGTTGACATTTTAAAAAATACTGCCTATATGAATGCTAAATATTCTTTAATATTGTACATCTACTAACAAGCTTGTAATTATCCAATTGAGCTTTCTTTATTATTGATTTTATATTTGTTGATTATATTAAGAAAAGTCACAAACTAAATTTTAATATAAGCTTTGATATTCATTTACTCCAAAAACCATGTGTGAACATGATTTTTAAAGTATGTTCAAAATAACTATCTTCAGCATTATTAACTTGAAAAATTCCTAGCAAAAAAATCAGAGCAAAACCTTTACAAATTCCTTTGGTCACATATTTCATTGTCATACAGCATTTTTCATTTAATCTATAATATTGAAACTAGTTTGATTAATGTAATTTTTGGAAATATGAAATATATACGCAATACATTTAGGACATTTTTCCCAAGTACCATCAAATCGGGGCACCACTGTTCTTCCCTCAGCCCCACCCACCCTCAGCATCTTCATGTAGAAGGAGGTCATCGGACTTTTAACACTTCTCATAGAGAAGAATGAAACGCGTGAACTGTGTAGATGATGGAAAGTAACTGTTTGGCAAAAACAGAAATAAACTGTAAAAGGGAGAGAAGGAACCAAAGATAATTCCAAACTATAACATATATGAATTCTCGTAATTCCCAAAGCATTTGCAAAATTGGATAAAAGAGGGGAGGTGTGTGTATGAAGATGGAAACAACAGTGGTCTTCACATATTGAATTTTAAAGAGGTAAGGATGTGACAAAACAATCAGGATAATAAAATACTGAGCATCTTCACTGACTATTATTCCTGAGCATCTTTACTGAGCTCATATTACTAGACAAACTGTTATATAAAATGTTCAAAATTAATTATAGCATAAATTCCATGTAAAGTATTTGTATATATTAATTCTCATTTATCTTTGAATCTCCAGTACTGACTAGAACATATGAACGTAGGAGACAATTAAAAATTTGTTGCTAAATCAAACCCCTGGCTGGTGTAGCTCAGTGAATTGAGCGCAGGCCTGAGAACCAGAGGATTGCAGTTTGAGTCCCAGTCAGGTCACATGCTTGGGTTGCAGACCAGTTCCCAGTAGAGGATGCACAAGAGGCAACCATACATAGATACTTCTCTCCCTCTCTCCTTCCCTTCCCCTCTAAAGATAAATAAATAAAATCTTTTTAAAAAAAGAAAAGAAAAACAGAAGATAAAAAAAATTGTTGCTAAATCAAAGCAGTCCTTGTTGCCCAGTGAAATCACAATACCACAGAGTCACAAGAAGTATGCCTAACAGACTGTGGCCAAGAGAACCAGTTGTAAGACATCTAAACTCTATGAATATGTTCATCATTTAATGACTTCCAATATTTACAGTGCAAGTGAAGGTGAAAATAGTGAAGAGAGGAAGTATTTCTATTCTGATTTATTTGGAAGTCTTCAGTATTTTTCTGACTGTATCTAGATGAGAGAGCTGAGAGAGATAACAGAGGGGGTTTATGGTTCGCACTTGCCGGTGGTGCAGGTGGCACTGTCCTGGAGCTGAGGACCCGAAGTTGAATAAGACACATCAGTGGCCTCATGAAAATCACAGTCCAGAGGGAATGATGTAACCGTAAGTCGTTTTAATACAGTAGGATGGGTACTGTAATAGAAGCAGGCTCAGAATGCTTTGGCAGAGCAGGTGAAAGGGCATCTTGCCCTTTCTTTGAGATTAAGGAGGGCTACCCAGAGGAGATGGTGTTTGAGCTAAGTGCCGTTGGGATTGGCAATTAAGGAGTCCATGGTGACTTTAATGAAAGTAGTTCCTACTGTAATGAGAGACAAAATCCAGATTGCAGGGAATTAAGAAGCGAATGAAAAATGGAGAGCGTGAATATAGACTACTTTTCCCAGGAAATTTTCTGCTAACTCTTCTTACTTGCTGCCTTGGAAAACAACTTTCATAAGGAATATCACATTTCATAGCATAATTAAGTCTAACGATAGCCATGTTTTTTTTCTGTGTTAGTGAAGAAATTGCATTTCACTTGTGCAATGTTCAAGTTCAATAACAGGAATCCTTCCAGCAAGAGCCTTCGCACCTGAAGGAGGGTTATAGCTACACTTCGCATTATAAATAGCTTTGATCCTGAATTTTTGTGGGTTTTTTTTTCCTTTCTATTCTGGGGCTCCACAGTCTCAATTGCCAAGTATATGTCCCAAGGAAGCTTTCTCTTTCCTTCCTTTCCTTCATCTTTTTCATAGTTCTCTTTATACCTCTAACCATATATCCTCAAGTGATTCAAATGTTTTATTATCCATAGCTTAGCTCTCTAATGCTAAATGCGACCTAGTGAATAACCTCCAAACTCCTTAGAACGTGCAAGGCCCTCCTTTTTTCACCAGCCTATTTCAGCAGCTTTGTCTTCCTGAGGCCTCCTCTTCCTGCTTCAAGTTTCCCTTCCCCTCCAGGCACCGTGAACTTCCTGCTCCCATTTCCTGCCACTGTTACCTCCACCTGGAATGGCCCAGCCCTGCGATCTCATATCTAGATGTAGCTGACATTTATGGTCTTACTCAGTTGTCATGTTCTGACATAAAAGCCTTTTTTGATCTTCCAACATGCAACTTTTTTTCTTAACTCTTGGTATTTGTATGTGTCTGTGTCCTTGATTTATTTATTTATTAATTCATTCAACAAATTTTATTGAGCACCTTCTATGCCCCAGCAACTGAAATTGCCATTTTCTACCTTTTCCCCTACAGTTGAATAACTGTTTTGTCTCCTCACTCCTATCAGACTATACATTCTTTGAGATAAGAATGATCTAACATAGCTGTGTGAGTACCTATTAGAATGCTCTACACATAGTGATTGTTCAACAAATGCGTTTATTATATTAATGAATAAATTAATCTCAAATGAGATTTTAATAGGACAAAGATAGCACCTAAATCTTTTCTCCTTCCTGCCACAAATTTCTCTCCTACTATGATCTGCAAGAATAGTATTTGTCACTTCTTCAGCTTAACTGTCTTAAAATAACCTTTAAAAACCTCCCTGACCAAACAATCATGTCCGCCATATTCTCTCCCTCCCCCCCTTCCCCTCTAAAGATAAATTAATAAAATCTTTAAAAAAAATAACCTTTAAAAGTAAACAAATGGTATTTGGCTCCATTGTTTATTCTCTTAAACTCTTTCCTGTCTTCAACTCTATCCATTCCACTGAAAGGAACCACAAGTTATAGGATTATTCAAATCCCTCTACTTTACCTCCATTACTGCCTCACTTAGCTGGTGACCATACTCCAACTTCCTCCTTAAAGGGGTCACTTAAGTCCAGTCACTTCCTTCTTCTAATCCATCCTCCATGAGTTATAAATTCAGATTATATTCCCAAACAGTGTAAACTTCAGTAGTAATGCAGTCCACTGATCTGTATTCTACATTGAAGGTTTGCCCTTCATAATGATGTTAATCTATGTTCTCCTGCCCTTCAGGTAAAATAAACACACTAGATTAAATAGTACCAAGGTATGCAACTCTTTTGGAAGTACCACATATAACCCAGTGATCTTTACTGACTACTCAACCAAATGTTACAGAAAATTAAATGCTACCATCATGTGAACTCGCATATATGCCAAACCATAAAATATACATAAGAGAGTGAATCTGAGAGTTGAAGCTCAGTTTCTACTGTTCTTTTATACATAATATCTGGCATTCAAGTTTTTAAAGGGAAGAAAAAAGACCCATGTGAAAAGTTAATATAATCAATAGAACCAGACCCCAAGATAACCTAGATATTAGAATTATCAGAGACTTGAAAAAAGAATAAAATGAACTAATTTCAAAAGTGACAATGAGACTGTCAGACTTCTCAGAAAAAGAGAAAATCAGACTATAATGAAATAGCATCTTTAAAGAACTCCACTAAATGAAATCCTAAAGGGAGTTCATTAGGCCAACAGAAAGAACACGGATGGAAGCAAGGTGATGTAAGAAAGAATGAGAGCACCAGAAAAAAGGCACATGTGTAAGATAAAGCAAATGAATATTAACTATTTAAATAAAGCCTGAACTTGAGGCAAATGTTTATCTAAGTGGTCATCTAGTCTACACTTGAATGTTCAATGTTGATAAACTCACTATTTCCTGAGGTACCCTACTCTATCTGCAACCACGCGGCAAATGTCTTTATAATGTGTTGCAATCTGTAATCCTCTCAGACTTCTTCCTCCTGGCCCTCATTCTCCCACAATAAGTAATCTAATTTCTCTAACACGGGCTCGAAATAACTATGTGTTATAACTGTGTCCAGTGGTTGGGGGGAGAGTTCAAGAAAGTCAGGCTTTGAATTGGATGCTGTGAGGGTAATTCTATGATTGTGCATTTTAAGTAATCTTATCTAGGAGGGAAGACTAGAACAAAGCTAAAGCTATAATTTGTAAAGAAGCAACAATTACAAGTATTAGCTAGGCTTTAATTAGCTAATAGGATTAGCTACTATTTTTGTGGTTTGCAGTGACTTTGTTTTTATTTGTGCTTAGGCAAAGTGGTCTTCTTTTTTGTCCCATTCTCTATGATTATGGAATGGCCTTGTCTATTGTTGGAGTTCAGTGAAATTGTTTACATTTGACAGAACACCTAGGCCCAACTATGAACGTCCTGGAGACGCTATGGCCTTGCTGGAAGTATCGAGCCAGTTCCCGAGAGCGAGAGACTGGTTTTTCTCTCTCAGGCCATGGACTTAGACTTGGGGAACTAAAGTAGGGCTTAGAGTAGACAGCAGATGGTTATGAAGATAGAGGAACAGTCCAGAGGAGGTGGAAGATGATGATGGGCATGTGCCAAGGGCTCTCTGGTGGGAGAGTGTTCAGCGTTGCTAAGAATATTGAGAAATGTTAAGACTGTTTGAGACTCAGAGGAAAAACACCGTTGAAGCAAGGCATCACCGCTGATCTTCAAGTAAGAAGTTTAAGGGGCAACAGGTCAGACTGCAAGGCTGTGGAGAAGCAGAGACTGTGGGTGGCGATGACTCGTGGAAAGTTTGCAGTGAAAAGGAGAGCAAGGGAGAATGTTAACTAGGAGATTTTGTGAAACACATTTAAGGAGAGTTTTTCCCTTAAAATAGAGATTACCATTATATGTTTGGAGCTGAGGGGAAGCAGCCATTGGATGTAAGAAGCAGTAAAGATACGAGTAAAGGAGTGAAAACAGAAAAAAAAAAAGTCTGGGACCAAGAACTTGAGTGGGTGGATATGTTTGTCCCGGAGAGAGAACAGGAGCCCCTCCCGGCCCCAACAGAGCGGGTGTGGGCACAGAGAGAGCAAGGAGGTGGAATGTGGAGTCGGTGAAGGAGCAGATGACAGGTAACATCTTTTCTTTTCTTCTTCCTCTTTTTCAGGGAGATTACAAGCAAGACCATCTGCCAAGGTTTGGGAGAAAAGGAGATGAAAGCCTGGAGAAGGTGTGTCTTTTGCTAAGAAGTTGTTTAGTGAATCAACAGAGATGCTGTTTTCTATTAAGTCGTCTGGTTTATAAAAGAAAATACTGCAACTGTTGCTGTATTTCATGGATTCATGGAGAAGGACTTAGTAGTAACAACCCTTTTATTCTTAGAAAATATAGAATGGGTTGCCAACTTTTTATATGAGCGATACAAACAAAACTTTTTCTTGGGATACTACTCATGCTAGATTAGATATTATTTGATACAAATAATTTGCCACTTTTTATTTTATTTTTTTAGACTGTGTCTCCCAAAGGAAAACATCTTGCTATTTTTCAAAGCTAAATGGAACATCGGCCAGAGAAAATAGCCATCAGAAGGATGAATTTCCTAGTTTCTAGAGCAAAGACAATTAACATGAACATTTCCACCTACAGTCATAAACATGGACCTCCCCCTCCCACGTGAAGCCTCAGTGTCTGTGTGTCTAAACAACGAGGTGCCTGCTCACTCGGGTATTAGGTGTGATTGAGAGATAACTTACTCACAGGCCGGGCAGCAGCTTCTGTGCACGCCGCAGCCCATGCTCTTGTGAGCATCAAAAGGAGATGAAGCCTGATTAACCATTTTGAAATCTATCGGATGAGGAGAAGTCCTTACAAAACAACTTTTATACGCTTTAATTAAAAACGTGTTCTGGCAGCTCAGAGCTGAATGGGCTTCAGGGGGAGCTGGGCTGAGCGCGTTGCTATGACGACACCAAATCTTTTCACGCCTGGCCCTTCCTCAGCGCTCTCTGTCTAGTTCTCTAGAGCCAGTAATTGCCTCCGTCCCGTCTCACTCCCTCAATCCCTTGGTCCATAAGTCTATATTAGTCCCAATATTTTCTGCTATTTCTGCTATTGTACCTCTCCCTGCACCCCACCTTTTCATCCCTTGCATTGCCCCCGTCTCTGTTTTGCTGTTTCTTTTGAAAACAAGTTTATTCTCTGAGTCAAAAACACACACCCACAAAGTCACAGCATGATAATCATTATTTGTTATTTCTCATGATAAAATAATAAATCCATTTTTAGGGGCATTGAGTGTAATCAAGAATGACTTTTGTGATACATTTTTTTATTTTTATTTTTCAGGTTAAACGCTGACTACTACATCACCCTTTCTGTTGCTGAAGATAAGGCTAAAATAAAAAGGTCTATGTTTTACTCTATGAAAGGTAATTTATGCTTATTGTTAAAATATCAGATTATTCCACTCACAGTATCTTCTGGTAACAATTGTAGGTGAACATTAAGACTTTAAAATATGTTAAAAAATGCAGACCTCAGTTTATTTAAGAAGACTCTTTGAACGTTTTAAAAGTTCTACTCGTGCAGAAATTTAAATAAAACCCAACACTTTTGCTTGCTATGCCATGGGAAACAAGAATTGGGTAAAACTTGCCCGTCTCAGAATCCAGCCACCAACTGGTTAGAAGCCGACATCTTTGCAATTTTGTTTTCAGTGTCTTTACATTGGCTATTATAATATCATTACTCAGCCTCTGGATGTTACTGCTTGAGTCACCAGAGACCTCACAACCTTTCCTTTTGATGACAATTTCATCCTTCCCTGTCACGGGTTCTGCTGGATGAGACAGGTGAGTGGAATGCAGCGGACATCACGTCCCGTTTGTTCTCCCCACTTAACTGGCAATCTGCTCCTACTATGATTATGCTTCCAAAGTGGATTATCCGTCAGATTGTTAAGCATTCCCTCTGACCGCCTGGCTCCATCGAGAGATGGGCGTAGTCCGCAGCGTCGCCCCTTGGCGCAGTGTGGCCCAGTTGAGGCTGCACAGAAAGGGCTGAGTCCTTAGGAGCCCAGAGTCTGGGTTTGAGTCTAAGACTCCAAATCATAACGCGGGTTTGGAGCCTCAGCTTCTGCATCTATGGAACTGAAATTTAAAAGTTTAACATTTCTTTAAAAGTTTGATGATGAACTTCCTTAGTCTCTTTACTATATTAAACTCGAATGTAACAGATTTTCTGATAGGCCACATGTTAATCTGTGAGCCACAAGTTAACAAATACTCTAACCTCTCTTCAGCATGAGGAACAGTATTCTCTTTTAATAAACCACCCCCATGTTGCTTTCTAGATTCTATTTAAAGATTTTATTTATTTACCTTTCGAGGGGAAGGGAAGGAGAGAGGGGGAGAAATATCAATGTGTGGTTGCCTCTCATGCGTCCCCTGCTGGGAACTGGCCTGCAACCCAGCCATGTGCCCTGACTGGGAATCGAACCACAATACTCTGGTTCGCAGGCCTGTGCTCAATCCACTGAGTTACACCAGCCAGGGCCTAGATTCTATTCTTATAATAAAAACTCATCATATTTTAAGAAGCTGCAGTCCTTGGACTTCTTACCATGGTCATGTTTAAAAGGTGAGGAGGCTGCCTGACCTGGCACCTGGGTAGCATTTCACAGACAGACCAAGCCTCTTAGTTATAATGTTGGTGTAATTCAAAGAAAGTATTGGTTGTGACTTTATTTTTCCCCTCTTAGTATTAAATATATAAAGCCAAATGCTTGTATGTGTTAGAAGTGTTTTCCCACCTGGGGCACTTTATTCGGATCCATCTTAGGTGGGAACTAAAGAAAGTAAATGTGTATAGACTGGCTAAATACACAGTGAGACAGGCATTCAGATACCTGAAACAGATCTGAGACCTAGTACAAATGGGTCCTCAAAGAGGCCTACTTAAAATGTAAGTGGATTTTAAGTACATATCAGAGAAAATATTCCATTGGCCAAATATTTCGTCCTGCCAATGTAGAGCTTCTCCATTATGCGGATAAACTCGAGAAGTGGGAGTCCTTCCATTCTTGACATTTAAATGTATCCTGGACCTGGCTTGAGAAAACTCTAAGGGGAGTGATCTTGCAGGTGAGTGGACTAGAAAACCTAATAAATCTTTTCCGTCACCCTATTGCATGTATGGTCCCATGATTCAATGACCCTCCAGGCTTAAGGGGCATCATTTTTAATAACATCGAATTCTCATTTCTACTGGAGTGTTTTCGACTTTCTTCTCTCCAAATTCTGTTTCTTGGCCCCAAACAGCTACATGAACATCAGGGTAGCCTTTCTTCAGTGACTCAGCCATTCTGCTCATCAGAGGTCATGTAATCCTGTGTGTGTGCTCAGGCACTAGACAGGTTGTTTATGTGATAAATCACAGGGCTGTCCCTGGGTGTGTGGTCTGGTGGCTAGATGTCAGAATTAAAGCCCTTAGTTGGTTGTTTTGAACATATTGTTATTCATGGAGTGGTTCTTACACTGAGTCCAGAATGGGGTTACTCTAAAGTCTTCACCATAATCATAAAAGTTAATTCTCGAGTAGCTATACCTACATAGAACTTAGTTATGGTCACACAGGGTGTGTTAAACTCTTCAAATAGTTAATCTTTAAAATATAAACCACTGCCATCTTCACCCCGTGTAAGTGCCTTTCGCTCCCCAGTATTTCTAAACCTATGACAACAAAAATGCAAAGGAAGCCCAGCAGCCCCCCAGGGGTAGGACTGTGCGTCACACTGAGGACAAAGATGAAAACACTCCATATTGCAAAAGAGATTTTATAAAACGTGGCTGAAGTAACACCACACTAAATATACTGGTCACCAAGATTTATACCTATTTTTTAGTAAGTTAATAAAGAGTGGTGTAAGTGTCCAGAAGTCACTTATTCTTTGATAACGTATAATAAGTATTTGGAGTTTGATAACTCATGTAAGAATAGCATTACCTATAGCGTTCTCTGTTAGAGATCCAGAATATCTGCAAGGTAAAGGTTTTACATCTTTTTGGATGTAGATGAAAACCATAAAGCTCTCATAAAAGTAAACATAATGTTTTAATGTCAGTTATATTCAGGATGCTATTTTTGTCTAAGTCAAAAGGGGGGAGGAACAAAAGGAAAGGAGAAAGAACTGAAATATTCTCTTTAATCTTACCTATCACAAGGGAATTCCTTTCTCTTCTCCCTTCCCCAAGTGCCTAGACCCCCAAATTTAAGGGATTGGTCAGAGTTCCATGGGCTGAATTTGCAAAATTAAAAAATTTGTAAACCTATTGATGCTAAAGGGAATTAAATAACTAAATTCTTATATTTCCTGATGAGAAAAATCTAACAAAAAGTCTTAAGTCTGACATACTTTTCTTGGTTTACCCCAAATCAGCAGGTCACGTAATTCATCGCTTTCCTGGACTAAGCGCAGGCACACACACCAGTCTCCTCCACTTGTGCCGGCTCTAATTACCTAGAGAGAAAGCTGGAGAGTACTAGATCACTTAAAGATTGGGATGGTCCTGATTAATTAGCAGGAACGACTAAATCCTAATCCACACTTACTACCATTGAGCATTCTGTAAGTGTTCTTGCAAAAAAAAAAAAAAAAAGAAGAAAGAAAAGAAAAAAGAAAAAGCACTTTAAATTCGGTTTATTACTCTTCTTTATTTGACTGAAATAAAGTTGCAATACACACTGTTTTCAGTAATGGGTGAGGAGGGAAATAGGGTTATGTAGAAAGTATGCCCAGTAATGAAATGACAAACTTGTACTGTGATGTTTTAGACACCGAGCTATCTATAGAGAAGTGTTCTTTGATCATGATTCGTAGGGAATCTCCTCTCCCCCCCACCCCCAACACACGCCAAGATGAAAGCACGTGATAGTGCTGGCTAAGCCTCTGTGCACTCTGGATAGCAGAGAAGCAGTGGCTGGAGGTGGCAGAAAGGGCGAGGATGGCACTGGGACCGCGGAGGCGCTCGCGTGGAGGTCGCGGTCCCAGCCGTCTCCACCCAGGGGAGAGAAGGGGGCCGCCCTGCACCCCGGCGCGAGACCGGCGCTCGGGTGACGGACGTGGCTCCCCGTCCCGGCCCAGGCTCTCGGAGCACCGTTCCGCTACCCGAGTCGATGGGTGGCGTGAAAGCTAGTGGGGATGGCTCGAGCAGAGTGGGCTCCAGGGCAGGGGCGATTTAAAGCCCCTTGGATCAGTGCTGGGTCGCGAGTAAAGCTGGCTCCGAGCCCCGGGCGCAGGCTGGGGCGGCGGCGGGACGCGCACAGCCCTTCGAGCGCGGCCGGCGCGCGCGTGGCTCCCGCGAACGCTCCGCAGCCGGACGCTGGCACCGGGAAAGTAAACGCCAGCCCTCGGGGCAGCCCTTGGGGATCGGTTGCAAAGGGAGACGGGAAAAATAAGTCAAATCAGAGAGCCGCCTGCCTCCCTGCGCTGCGTCCGTGGGCGGCGTCCCCCGCCCCGCAGCCTCCGCCGGGGCCCGCGCCCCCCGGACCCGGGGAACCCGGCCCGGGCCGCGGCCGCGCCCCGCGCAGGTCCCGGGAGCTCGCCTCGCCCGCCCGCCAGCCCCGCCCGGCCGGGCCCCTCGGGCTGGAGAGAGCCCGGCTTTGCTCTTTTCGTTGGCCAAGCACAATTGTGTTATTGGAGATAATGAATTCAATCCCCATCAAAGGGCATTAGGCTCGCCCGGGTCCTGAGTTGCTGATGCCTTAAAAAAAAAAAAAAATGGAATGAAAGGCTGAAGAGGGGGAAAAAATCGGTGGGGGGGCCTTTCCCCTGATCGCGGCGTTTGAAGTGAAGGGGCCCGAGCACTGTTGTTCACCTCCCGGCCCATAAGGCCGAGGAAAGCCTGGGCTTTTGATGGGCCGAGAACCGCCGCCGCGAGGGGCGCCCAGTCCGGCCGTGCGGCCCGCGGGCACCACGTGTGTCGGGCCTCCGGGCACCGTCTGGCGGGCGGGCCGCGGACCCGGCCCGGAGGGGCTGGGCCGCCGGCTGGGCCTCGGAGCCCCGGGCGGGGCAACAGGCTCGCACCTGGCGGCGGCGTCCCGGGAACCCCAGGCCTGCGCCCCGGGGTCGTGGTTCCTCGCGCCCACTTCGTGGTGTCGCGCAGGGGTTGCATCTGTGATTCATCGTTTCCGACCCCAGACTGGGAGGCCAGACTGTCCCTCGGCGCTGAGGGTGGAGAAGGCAGGGTGGTTGGAAGTTCGTTTTTAGCCACGGGGACCCGGCATCTGCGGTGACGCCTTCGGTAGAGTTTGGCGGGTCTCAGAAGCGGCGCCGCAGAGCGGGCCACCCGCGACTCCCCACCTCGGAGCAGCTCGGGCGAGGCCGGGGCCGCCCGGAGGGAGAAGGCCCTGCCGGCCTTTTCTCCGGTGTCGGCGGGGGCCGGCCTCGCAGTTCTGAACCCAGGACAGGACCTTAGCATCGGATCACATTTTCTAACAATTTGCTGCAGGCATTGAAGTTCGCTTTCAGGGAACAGGAACTTTCCGCACCTCCACTCGCACCCCGCGCTCCCCACCCCCGCCCTCGCCCGCCTCTGAACTCTTCGGGCCCAAAGGTCGGCGACTAGAGCGCTAGCGCTTGGGTTCCCTTCCCTCCCTTCCCTGTCTCCAACCCCCTCCATCCCTCCTCAGAGGAACCCGGTCATCCGCCCCATTAATATATTAGCCAGGCATAACACAAAGGAAGCGCGCGTCAGCAGAAGACGCTGTGAGCGAAGCGAGGGGACCCGCACGGTGCCCTTGGGTTGCAACAGGGCTCGTTGCTGTCGGAGCTCGAGCGCCTGCCGCCACCCGGGAAAAAGCGGTGCAGGGCACTGCGGGCGCTGGCTCTCGGGACTGAGCAGCTGGTGGGCTAGGCGTTTGCAGCCGGGCTGCGGTAGTGAAGTCCAAGGCTCCCAGGTGGGACCAGAACCGGGAGAACATTACGAAAACACCCCAGTCACCTGAATCACGCAAAGAAAATCAGCTGTCCAGCATTTCACTCGGCAGGAGCCACTTCCCTCCCTGGTGCCTAATGGATCGGTCCTTAAAAGTAAATATGTAAACGAAACAAAGCACCACAAAGCCCCTTACATTCTTCTTATTAAATAGTTTGTGTTTTAAAAGAACTCAGATAGAGGGAGAGAGATAAATAGATATGACCTGGGACGTGATTAGACAAGTAAAGGAGTAACTGAAATTTCATGGGAGAGGGGGAAAAAAACTAAGGTTTGCAGTTGAGTGCTGTTTTCTAATTCCAGACAATGATTTGGGGGGTATTTTCAGGTTGTTTTTCTTGGTTTCAGGATTTTTTTTTAAAAGCCTCTGTTGTATAATCTTGAAGAGTAGTTGAAGAGAGAACTAGGAAGTCAACCCAAAGCAACGTTACACTTAGAAAGCTGAGTCAGGCCTGCCATGGCACTGGCCAGGTCCTGAACTTGATCTTGATGTGACTTGACCAGCATCCCACCTGGTTTCTTAGATCCTCAAGCACTTACTCTATTTAAGCCCTTCCTTTCCCAGATATTGAGCCGAAATGCTCTGCTTTTACACCTTCAGTTCACTGGAACATAGAGAACCCCCCAATACTATGAAGTGGCATTTCAAAGGAAGGAAGCTCCTTGCTTTTCCGGGGCTGCAGAGGTGAGCTCAGGATCCCCAGGAGCTGTCCTTGTACACTGTGTAGTCACAGCTGACATAAATGGAGAAATGAGGAAGTTAGAAAATGAAAGGTAGCAAGTGAGGATTTCCCCCTTGTCAGATTTAAGATCTCCTTGTAGTAGGAAAATGCATGTGTTTTCAAGTTAAAAGTGAACTGCCTGGGTATTTTCCAACTCCCTATTACCTGCTAGAATGATAGCTGGAGTGATAAAAAGAAAAAAAAAAAAAAAGGTGAGGGCTGCAGTCTCCGCTGTCCAAAGTTCAATGAACCAAGCTCCAGTTGGGAACCAAAACCAGAAAAGCTAGTGGAGCCATTATGGCCTCAAACTTAACTATCTGTAAGGGGGGGAAATAATATTTAAGGTAATCTATTATTAAATGTTATTTGGATACATCAAGTAGGATCATCAGTAGACAATAAAATTTGCATAAATGGCTACTTGAAGAAAACCTTGTATCTCATCAAATGGATTCTAAGTAGGAATTTTATAAGTTGTTTCACTTTATTACATTCTTACTCTGATGAGTTTCTATTGGTGCTAATGATTCTTCCTATTGGGGAAAATATTATTTCTAAATTTCAGCATAATTTAATCACATATTTAACCTGATAGTCTACAAATAATCACCTTTTGCACATCATTATCTTGGCATAATTAAACATTATTTTCATTTAGTTGCAAAACATTTTACTACAATTCAAATAAACAATTAAAAATAATTTTGAAAACATTTTTACAGATGTAGTTAACATCTAGTAACTTAAGCAATTTTATCTTTTCAACAACTTTTTCTTCTTGACATATCACATTAAAATACATTATAGCTAAATGTTCTACAATATTACTTCTAAATCAGCAGAAAACCAATTGATTTTGAGGAAAGGTTAATTAATTTGGGCTACAGGTCTCCTACTTTGGTCAGCATCAAAAGGCATTTGTATTGATAGAAGAAGTTTTTTTGTAAAGAAGCTTAATGAGTATTTTTGTGGAACTGAGATCATTTTTTTTTAGTAGCAAAACAACGAAGTAAATTTTTGCCACTTCAGGAATACTTTTGTGCTATAGCTCATTCGTTTCTGTTAGACTCCTGAAGAAAAGTAATGTTTTTTAATATTTCAGTGAAATCAGTTGGTTATCTAGCCTGCAGAAAATGAAAAGAGAAGTTAAGAACTTTAATAGGATTTTGTTTGTTTAATCCCTACTCCCATAATAATTCCCACCAGTTTATTCTATGAGGGGGATTACAAAGAGACAATGTAAATTAAATTTCATCCCTGATTTAAACACTGTATTAGCCATCAGGTTAAAACCAGACTGAGCTGCCTTCTACACGGGAACCTTCTAAGTTGTGTAGTATCTGCTAAACAGAACTGGTGCGCCTTTCTTCTTCCTCATCTACGTTCAGGTGTCTTCTCATTTTATCAATCTAAAACATGTTTGAAGCCTGGAACAAGGTGGAAGTAACATTTGAAGTTTCTTCCTCGGCCCTATACTTACTCCCCAAACATTTTTCTTTTTTTCCCCGAAAGTGTTTGCTCCGTGGCGTCGTCAGAGGATCGAGGGCCTCGTGAGCTTTGCACTTGGGTGTGTTGCAAGTTTTTCCTTTCCTCTCCCTCCCACCTCCTCCGGAGACCCCTCCCCCACTTCGGACGAAATTCCTAAATAAAGGGAGCCGGTGGACGGGGCGAGCGGTCTGCATCCCCACCCCGGCCCCGGGCTGCAGGAGCTTCCGAAGTGAAGACCTTTAGAAAGACCGGGAGAGAAAATGGGGAGGGGTCGCGGGAGGGCGGAGAGCCCGGGAAAGGCTCCTGCGCTCGCCCGGTACCTCCGCTGATTCCCTCCCGGCCCCGCGGCTTGGCGCCCTGGCCTCGGGTGGCCGGGCGGTTGTTTGTCTGGGTTCCCCAGCAGTCCTCCTGCAGTCGCCGCTACGCGCTGCAGGAGCCGTACCGAAGGGCCTGGCCTTCTTTGTTGATTTTTAGGTCTTGGGCTGAACAGATTTATTCGCCAGGAGGGGGAAAGGCCCAAACAATGAAGAACTAACTGCACTTGCCACCTCGAGGTGCTCGTGGTCCTACGCTGCCCCCACCCCCTTCCCCCGGCAACCGGCCGCCTGGCCCCTAACCCGAGAGAGCGCGAACGCGCAGGGCCAGCCCCCAGCGCCCAGAAGCAGCTGAGCGCGCGAAAGATGCCCACGGGGTGTGTTACTGTCTAGAGCTGGCAGAAAACCGTGGCAGAGGCCCACGAGGCGAGACCTGCTCCCCACGACCCACCATTCTAGCTTCTCAGGCGGGTCCCCAAAACGGCTTCAGACCGTAAGCTCGAGGCTTCTCGCCCCCGCAAACCCAGAACAAGTTTTTGCAGAGTAAGAGAGGGAGACGAGAACTAAGGCCCCCTTAAGCCCGGTGGGTGAGGGCAAACGTGAGGTTGCTAAGGCGTTAGAGAGAGGGAAGGGGACACTGCCGAAGGCAGCTCAGATTCAGTGTGACCCGGTACAAGGCCTAGGCCCAAGCTCAGGCCTTGTATTACATGAAGAATTCGGATTTGCCAACGTTTGTTTACCTGCCATCTAAATATAAATAACCGCTGGGATTGAAAGCTTTTTCCTTTTTGGAACTTTAGTATCCTTCCCAGGCCTCCAAATCGGGTTTTGAAACTACTCGACCAGTAAGTTTCCTCTCCTTTCATTAGCTGCAGTGAGAGCTGGGGTTTGAGATTTCTGGATTTTTCTCAAGTGCGACATGGCACCCCTTCTCTCATCTGGGGAGGCAATTACGTGATAATTAAGGGACTCACACAGCTCTTTTTATCTTGTCCTCAGTGTGGAGTAAGGCGATCAAAGCAAAGGCTGTCCAAGTTCAAGCCCTGGTGAGGATGGAGTTCATACACAAGGGCTCAGGCAGGCCAGCCTCTGCTTGGGCTGTGTTGTTATTGTTGATGTCAATCCTAACAAGACTTACAAAGAAATAGGTGGACTGGAAAGTGAGCCTACTATCAAAGGAGATTAATGATTTTGTGATCTCAAACAACTGTAGGAGTGTAAAGTTGCATTTAAAAGCTTCTTAGAAGGCAAACAAATCATCAGCCTTAAGGTCTCTAGAACGGTATTTTTAGCAACAATATTTTAAAAATATCTTCACACCACACAAAACAGCAGCTAGGGAAATGTTCTGATGGTACAAAGCTTCCCCCACAGGAGTGGATTAACTGGCCTCCTCTGTCCCCTCCAAAGTACCATGATGGTTCAGTTTTGTTTCTCTTTTAATGCAAAGAGGGTTCATGATTCTCTATTGTAGACAACTTAATTTTAACAGCCACAGCTAATATTTTAGTCTGACTTAAATACTTCTCAGAAAAGGAAAAATGATATATTAGGAAAGAGGGAAAAGGAGTTAAGAATATTAAATTTCATTGCGGAAAGGCTAAAAATGAAACATAGCAGGCTCAAGTCCATGCCAAAAATTGAGGTAAACATTACTGGGAATAAAGAATCGTAAAAACCTCAATTATTGGAATATTAAGTCAACTTATCTATCCACTTTTATTGAATTTCTTTAACCTTTTTACCACATATAATAAACAAACAATTTTGTTTTATTTTCCTTTTTGTCATTTATATTCAGTGCCAAGCATTGAAAAATATCATATTCAGAATATCTATTTTGGATTTAATTAAGGAAAATAACAAAAATCCTTTTTTGTTAACATTTGATTTATTTAAAGTCCTTAACTGCAAATGATCAAGAACATACTCCACACCTTAAAATTTATTATTTTTGTTATTTAAATCAAAATATTTTAATTACAATCACATTGATAAAAATTAACATTTTAATTTGTACTTTTAACCATCATTTAAAGCAATTTCAACTGTAAAGAAAAAAAAAGAATAAACCATGCAATAAATTAACATTGAGAAAGCAAAGAGGAATAATAATGAAACCCGTCTGGCTACACTAACACCATGTCCAACTGTGAAAAGTGCATTAACACTGAATGAACAAGCACACGATGACAATAATTAAAATGACCACAATCAGTTGGATTTTGGAATGTTGGACCAAATTTTGAAATACGGCTCCCTATAACATCTCTTCTCCAACATTGTGTTCTTCCTTTTTTTTCTGGAGGAAAAATATTTTTAAATGGTATAGATACACAGACACTAATTTTATACATGTTATGTGACCTCAGAATGACATGACCATGGCACTCTGCAAAGCAAGGAGCAGAGTTACTGAGAAAGGCAATTCTTGAGGAATTGATTCCCAGGGCTCTCTGTGGGTGGACAAGGAAGGGGTGTCTTTGTAACTTTTTGGTCAGGCAACTCTTGAAAATGTAGCATGGGTACCACCTACCTATTACCTCTATGTGTTACGTAATTACATGGAGGATGTCTACATATTTGAGCATGTGCATAAACATCAGTAGATAATATATATGTATTCTTAAGACATCTGCTATCTGAGTGTATTAGAATGTAAGCTGAAAAACAAATGGCTCTGATGTTTATAATCTGTTGGTGTTTTGCTGCGCAACAGCAGCACTGTCCTTCACTAGTTGTAACAGCCCCTAGTGTCTGCTTGTTTCTTTAGCTTTTCAGTTCCTGCTGTGAAGAGTATTGCCATTGACCTGTAAACCTGTGCGTGTGGGAGGGGGGGGTCAGGTGAGGAGGGGAAAAAAGTACAAATACTTTACAAGCTTGACCATACTTCTTTTCTTAAATAAAATCTGCACACACTGGAATGTGTCTGGTGGGGAAAGAGGAAAGAAAGGGAGAGGGATAAGGAAGGAGGATTTTATATATACACTTGTGTATAATTAAACTTTGCAGGGAAAAATTCTGTTGGTTTGGGGGTGGTTTTTTTTCCTAATAATATACACAAGGCATTTGAACAACAACAAAGTAACAGTCCTTTGCACTGGGAAAAAGATTGCTGCACACACACACAAAATAAAAATAGTTGGGATTTTGTTACGCTGTTGTTGGCTTGGTGTGTGTGGTTTTATTTGCAGTTGGTTTTTTCCTTCTCTCCTGCTACAAGCATGGTCACGACAAACAAACCCCTAGTCTAGAAGAGCTAGGAAGTGTTTAGGACAGGTCTGGAATACACACCTTGGTAGTAGGCCGGCTCCAGGGCTGAGGGCTCGATGGGGCTCCTGGTGGCCACCGAGGCGCTGCCCAGTGGCAGGCTGGCGGGCAATGCGGCGCTGTAGGGTGAGTACTGAAGCGCCTGCTCGTAAGCCTTGAAGTCCAGCTTGTGCTGCTGATCCGAGGACATGAGGTTGTTGATGGAGAAAGGGTGGTTGAAGGAGTAATGGGGGTCCCCTTTCAGGTGTAGCTGGGACTCGTGGGGTGCCAGACCATGCACTGGGTGGGAGGGGGGCACAGATACCAGCGCCCCAGGCCCCGAGCTGATTGGGGGCGCAGCTGAGGAGGCTGGAGTCTTCAACTCCGCGGCGCCCCCTGTCGCCGTAGCCCCACTGTGGTCCAGAGTCTGGGGGCTGGCGGCAGGCCCCGGGGCCGCTGCGCCCTCTAGCTGGCCGGCCTTACCGTGCACACCCCGATGAAGGGGTGAGTCGCCGCTGCCATTGGCAGCAGCAGAGGGGTCCTTCCGGCTCTCAGGGCCGCCCTTGGCACCACCACTGGCTCCGCTCCCGCCCCCGGCCCCTGGCTGCTTCTCGCATTTGAAGCGCTTCTGGCGGCGCAAGTAACAGCCATTTTCGAACATGTTGCCAGAGTCCGGGTGCAGCGTCCAGTAGGAACCCTTGCCCGGCTTGTCCGGGGAGCGCGCCACTTTCACGAAGCAGTCGTTGAAGGAGAGCGAGTGGCGGATGGAGTTCTGCCAACGCTGCTGGTTCTGCCGGTAATAGGGAAAGAGGTCCATGATCCACTGGTAGATCTCGCTCAGCGTCAGCATCTTGCTGGGGGCCTGCTGAATGGCCATAGTGATGAGCGAAATATAAGAGTAGGGTGGCTTGGCATGCGGGTAGCTGCGCTTGAAAGTCTTGGCGTCGCCACTGCCCCCAGCCCGGCTGCGGCCCAGATTAGACGGCGCGTATGCCATGGGGCTCATGCAGGGGTTCATGGCCGCGGCGTAGGGGCCCAGGCCGTTCATAGAGGCCGCAGGCTGCGCGCCCATGGCGCCCATGCCGCCAGGGCTCAGCGTCGTCCCCATGGCTGTCACTCCCGCCGCTGTCATGCTGTTCATGGCGCCCGCAGAGCCTCCAGGCATGCCTGCCACAGTGCCGGGGCTCAGGCCGGCGCCCAGGCCCGGGTTTGCGTACGACATGTTGAATGAAGCTGGGGTCATGTTGCCACTCGTGGTCATGGTGTTCATGGTCATGTAGGTGTTCATGGAATTCATGGAACTCAAGCCCGAGTTCATGTTGCTGACCGGGACTGAGGTGTAGGCCTGGAGTAGAGAAAGCGAGTGAAGAGGCCCCAAGGGCAGGGTTAGCAGTGTGCGAACCCCGAGATGAGAGAGGAGATCAGTTCTGCAAAGCACAGTACCCCCTACCCAGGGCAAACGGTCAGGCAACCTCCCCAGCCTGAGCAAAGAGATGTCTTGCACCGCAGGGAAGAATCCTAGCGTGGCAGGCATGAAAGACAAGCGCTCACAGAAAATGCTCTCCCAGGAAGATGTGTAATCGCCTTACAACGCCAGACTTAGGTTAGGGGCTGGCTTCTAGGGACCCCGCTTCCAGCCTCGGCTCCAGACCGCCTCTGCAAACTAAGTGCCTCTTTGGTTAAAAGAAGTGAAAGCTCCAAAAACGAATTAATCTTTGACCCTCTGGTAATTCGCTCCACCTTAACGGTAATTTTGGCCACTCAGCCCCTGGGGTGGACAACGGAGCACCGACTCTGCACCATCTCACCTAAACCTGCCAAGCTAGCTGACCACATACCTATCTGCAAACTCAGATCTGCAGGGTAGCTACTAACTAAACTCTCCCTCACACAGTAAAGCGTTCATGGCCATATGACCATCCATTTCCCAACGACGGGCTTTACTGTCTTAGCAGTTTTTGACAAATGGCGCTTTTTTTGTTATTATATTTAGAAGTACTATTTTCCATCTACCCGTAGCAACTGTAATATTAAGATGGTTAGAAGCTCAGAGGTTAAATAAGTTTTGGCAAAAAATTAAAAATAGACCTACAATAGAAGAAGGGGCAGGAAGGGTTGCATAATTATATCCATGTACTACTCGTATTTAACTTCAGCATGACTTTACATGTACAACTCTTTAAGCAAAAACTTCCACTGACTTAATTATGTATTTCCAGGCTCCTAATATGGGAAAATTTTGTGACACAATTCGTCAAAATAATCATGTCTCCCCCCCCCACCACCACCACATACCGATTATGTTGCTGCTGACCATTTCAAACCCTGGCTAATAGTCTCAAATACTTTAAAAATCCAAAATCAAAGTCTACTTATTTTCTACTTCCCAATTCTGAGCTTTAAACCTGTGAAGAAGTTCTCTTTCCATAGAGGGCTTAACTGACTAGTGGGTGAAGATGACTGCATCTAAATTAAACCTGGGGAAGAGTTGTGAATGCCTTTTAAAATCGTCAGTAGGAGAAAAGCCTCATCAATAGCAATTTTGAAATGTACTAGGTATGTTAAAAAAACACTGAGGCTGGAACTATAAAAGCTACTTCTCTAATAATTTAATAAAAATAATGATATCCTTGAATTTATTTTTTTATCAGAAAATAAGACTTTTAAAACAAAAGGTGAACAAACAGATTGAACTAGGCATACACTTTGCTATGGTGTGCAGATGAACTCCAGGTAAATTTGTGAAGCTATAAATGTACAAATCTAAATAAATTAGCATGAAAATATTTCCCGATTCCACATTTTTCCGTCCAAGTCTTAAACTATTTCTCACTTTTTTTTTTCTTTTGCTCCCCCTAAGACTGTCCAAGGCGTTTTCGGTAAGAATTTTTAATAATGGTAAACTTTTGAGGGGTACTTGCCGGCTGTTTCCAGAGAAATTTATTGGTAGAGGTCCTGCCTGTACCTGATTTTCCTCTCAATCCCTTTGTGCACATTGTAAAATAAACTACATGAACGTGCAACCAAGGGGACAATGAAGAGAAACAGGTTCTCCAGTCGCTGCGCTGGAGGAAAAGTCAGCTCGCACCAGCGCCACCCAGCGGTTCTAGAGAAGACTGAGCATGAGCACACCTCCCCAAACAGGGCTTTGGAAGAAGTTTTATAAAATTTCGGAGTCGGTTCCTTATTAGGGTGTTCAACTCAGCGGCAGCGCTTTTTCATCAGAAGCCATCTGCGAGTGGATCCGCGGGAGGAAGAGGTCGCCCCTGCAGGCAGTCTCTGGCTTTCGGAGGTGGCTTCCAACTCGTGCCAGCGCCCGCCCGACAACCCGCGGCACCGCGGGCCCGGCTCCGGCTCGGGCTCTCGGGAGCCGGAGGCTCGTGCTCCGCAGAGCGGGTGCTTTGGGAGCCCCGACTACCCTGAAATCCTTTCGCCCGCGCTGAGCGCCGGGTCCCGGCCTCCCGCGCGGGGCGCCGGCTCTGGCTCCGAGGCCGGGCCAAGGCCAGGCCCGGGCCACACCGGGCGGGCGGGCAGCGGTGGCGCGGAGCGGGCGCCCCCCGCCCGCCGACCGGCCCGGCCTCCCGGTCCCCCGGCTCGGGCCCCGGGGCGTCCCGCCTGCCGTCCGCCTCTCACCTCCTGCGTGTCCGCGTAGTAGCTGTTCCAGTCGCTGCTCTCATGCCCTTCCATCTTCACAGTTCCTAACATCCTGGAGCCACCGTGCCCGATGCAACCGTACAGCCCTGTGCAAAGCGACGGGCGGCCGCGCGCGCGGGGCGGGGGGGGCGGCGAGCCGCGCGGCCACAGTCCCCGGGGCGCCCGCGCCGGCCCAAGGCCGCCTTAGCGAGGAGGAAGCCGGGCGCTGCGGGGCGCGGCGTGCGCGGTGGCGGTGGCGGTGGCGGCGGCGGCGGCGGCGGCGGCGGCGCGGCGGGCGGGGGCGGGAGGCGGCCGCGGAGCGCGGCGCCCGGGAGCGCCTCCGCGGGAAGTGAGCGGGCGGCCTCTGGGAGACGCGTGCAGTTGAGCTGATGTGGATCTTACGTCGCTCGAGTGCCCACCTCCTCGTCCTCTCCCCATTTGTCCGCCGCACAAAGACGCTCGCACCTACAAAGCCTGAGGTGCACCTGCGAGGCGGCCGCCCGCCAGAACGGCCGCCGCGCCTCCCGCCCCGCGGCGCCGCGCCGCGCGCCCCTGCGCCCCCTCCCGCCGCGCCCCCTCCCCCCGAGCCCGGCCCTCACTTTGTTTGCAAAGCAGCGTAATTGGTTTAAGCCCGGAGGCTGGGGGAAGAGGGAAGTGGGGTGGGGGTGGGGTGTAACCCCCTTTGGAAGCGGAAAAAAAAAAAAGAAAACTGGGCGGGGCGGGCGAGCCGGCGAGGATCCGCGACGACCCGCGCGGAGGAGCAGCGCCGGGGGCGGCGCCGTCGGAGCCCCGGCTCCCGGGGCGGTGCCGGCCGAGGGGCCCGGGGTCTCTCCCCGGGGGGACCTGCCGCGTCCGGCGCCCTCCCGCTGTCCGGCCCCCGCCCTCCCGACTCCTGACCGAGTCCAGGGCACGGGGACGCAGAAGCCCACCTCCCGCCCCTCCGACTGCGGGCGCGGGAAAGGGGACGGGCCCGCTCTGCCCCTTCGCTAGACACTCGGCCACCTGCGTCGGCCGAGCGGAGTGACGCGGGCCGGTCCCGGCCCTGGCTAGCCGAGCGGAGACGCTGCCACGAAACCCGTACCTGCGGCTAAGAGCAGGTGAGTCATAGCACCGTTTTATGCCTTTATGACATAACTTTTTTTCCGCCTCAGTCCGCTCTACTCCCCTTGTCATCTGTGGCAGTCGTAAAGAGGAAGAAACCGAGACCAGATGTCTCTGTGATAGGGCAGGCGGCCGAGGCGGCGCCCTCCCCCGGCCCAGCCCCTCCTCCGCCCGCCCCTCCCGCAGTCGCGGGGTGAGGCGGAGGCGGCTGTCCGGCTCCTGGAGGGAAAGGTCAGGGGGAGGGGACAGCGCCCCAGATGGGCGCGTTAGCAGGGAGAGCCCGGGCGCCGCTACCGGAATGCAGCCACTCTGCTCGACAGGTGCCACCCCGCGTCGGCCGTGGTCCTCGGCGCCGTCCGGTGCTCCCTCCGGCTTGCAAGGGCCGGGCCGGGACACTAGGTGCTGGTTTAGTCCTGTCGGTCCCGGACATCGATGGGAAGCTCTCTCCCAGGCAAAGTCCCTCGGCTCCTGTGAAGCTCCGGGTAGTGGCCTGCCCGCAGGTCCTGAGGAATACCAGCCAGGGGGACTGGGTGATAGGCACCGAGTTGGTGATAGGTTGCGTGAGTGTGTTTCCGACAGCGTGTGTTTTTCGTGTGACCATGTGTGTTTCTGAGTGTGTCGTACCCTCTGTAGCATCACTAGGTTTCTTTAAATAGCAGTAAAATAAAATCTTTCTAAAATGACTAAAAATCCACAAAATACTCTTGTTTGGCAAAGCGTTTAAAATGTTATTAGTCTCATTTTGAGAAATATGTTTTCACTTGTCTTCCAAACAGGTCTTCCCTACTCCCCTCTACCCCCTTTGTTCTTTTAAATCTTTCTTCCTTGAAATCGGGCAACAGAATCAGGTTAAGTCCTTGAACCACACACAATCTCCCAAATCAGCAGGGGAGCAGAAGAGGGTGAGGATGCGCAGTTAAGGAAATGGAAAAAAGATAAAAGCATTGGATTACATTTTTTTTTAACAAAAAGGGGAGAGACGTCACATTGTAAGGAAAAGAGTGAGAGGGGAACTAAACGCACCTGGAAAACCTAAGCGCAGGAACCCTCTCTCCAAACGCATCCTGCCCCTGTAACTGCAAGTCCGCCCCATCCATTTGTGCAAATGGGTCTGCAAATGTGTGGGTCTGCGCGTATTTCCCGTCCACTGCTGGACCTTAGTAGAATTTGTAAAGAACACGGATGCTTAGCTTCCTCTGACCGATCTCGGGGCGGCGGGGGCGGCGGGGGGGGGTGCGGGGTGCGGGCGTTTTCAGTGCTAATGAGCTTCCTTGTTCATTCCTCCTTGATACTCCAACGCCCTTTTGCCTCTCCAACAACCTCGAACATGACTAGGGTGTTTTTCAATGGGTAGTGACAACTTAGTAAAGCTTTTATGGTGCACAAGAAGCTGGTGCTTTGAGGAGGAAAAACACCCGTGTCACCTTAAAGGGGTTCAGCGAAAGGAATCTGGTATTTTTCCTCTTATCCCATTTTCCAACCCTATTAAACCTCATCTCAAAAAAAAAAAAAAAAAAGAGAGAGAGAGAGAAAGAGAAAGTCAACTTAAAAAAAAATCCCCTGGTTCATAGCGGGATAGTCAAAGAGAAGTTTCTCCTGAGCTTCCTCAAAAAGCCCAAGGCAGTAAACCGTGAACTCGGCCCGCTTTGGAGCGGAGCGGCGATCCCGCCTGGCGGGTCCGAGGCCCGCGGTCCCAGAATCACGGGGATCACAGCGCCTCCTGTCGTGGGGAGGGAACGCTGAGTGCGGCCGCCGGCTGCTGAGCTTCGCCGCGGGAGGCTGCAGACTCGCGTGCCGCCCTCGGCCGGAGGTGTCGGTTCACGCGCCGAACGACCGCCCCAGGCCTGGAAGGAGAGGCGGCAGCCCGGTGAGCTCCGTCCGCCTCCATCTCGGCGGCGGCATTCCAAGATACGGAACAAATGGAGGAGGTGAAGGTTTCGCGTACCCAGATGTCAGCTAGGCATTTCCTCGAGGTTTAAAAGCGAATCACCTGGGCCATGTTGGGGTCTTTGATTTGGAAAATAAACAATACATAAAATAAATAAACCAAAGCCGCTGCCTCCCGGGTGCCGGCCAGTCGGCAGCCAGGTGGCCAGCCGCGCCGCTGCAGCCGGCCGGTTTCCAGCCTCTTTGCCCAAACAGGCCCGGTCTGTCCCCTTAGCGGGAGATCGTGCCTCGTCTTCCCGGGAGCTGGACCTTGGGGAGCCACGAGGTCAGCCACGTGGCAGCTCCTGGGGATTTGGGAGCCCCACGCGTCAGGGCGAGAACGGGTCTGCGGGAGCCGGGGGCAGCCCCGGCGGAGACGCCGCAGCGGTCGGGGCCGCGGGGTGCGCGGGGCTCCCGCTGCCCCGGGGCGAGCGGCTCCGCCTCCCCAGAAGCTGCGCCTTCTCCGCCCGCGGGGTCGGCTCCAGGCGAGGCCTCCGAATGCGAGCAGGTCCAGCGGCCGACCTCTGCCACCTCCGCGTGCCTTTTCCAGCATTACCTGGCTGGGAGCCGCTGCCACAGATAGATCTTCGCCGGGGCAGGGAGAGGCGGAGGGCGACGGCAGCAGGAGGCCGATGGGAGGCCGGAGGCGTGCGCCTCGGATCCCGCCGGCTGCCTGGGGGCGGCGCCGGGGTCTTGCCCTTTTAGCTGGACGCCAGGCGGGGCGGGAAGCAGGACCCGGGGGCGGTGGGGCTTTGCCGCGGCCCCTGGAGCCTTTCGAGGACTCTTTCCTCGGGTGTTCCCAGCCTGTCCCCTTTGCCCGCCGACTCCCCAGACGGTGTCTGTGCTCAGGTCTCGGCTGACGAGGGCCCAGCCACGCTCGGTGCAGGTTGGTCCGAGCGCCTCCGCAGACCTACTCTCGCCACCCAGTTAAGAAGCTTAAAAACTTCGCCTTCGAGTGAATCAGACGCGTGAAACTAAGACCAGGCCTCATGCGGTTTAAAGCCAACCCGCACTGGGAGCCGGGGTCGGTGTAGGACCAGGGAAGGCCTGGGACGCGCTGCAAGTCACTATTCGCTCTTGCCTGTGCCAGGCCTACGCGCACCGAGGCGCGTGCCGGGCCCGGGGCAGGCGCCCGGGCCCTGCGGGAGGGCGGACCCCACTCCGGCGAGAGGCGCGGCGGCCCAGGCTTTCGCGTCCCACTGCTGCCGGGACCAGTGTGAGGACCAGGGGCAGGAGAGAAGCTCGGGGTTCCTGCTCCTTCATTCCTTCGCTGCCTCTCCTCCCCCACCGTTTCTTTCTGTCTTCATACTTGCCTTTTCTCTGGCCTTACATCATTCAGTAATTAATTAAAGTTAATTCACAACTCACTAGGCGTCCGACCCTCAATGGGTAGGGGCCCTGGGACCACCTAACCGGCTCTGTCTTGCGACTCCATGCGGAGAAGTATGAGGTCCCCGGCCTCACGCCTGGCCAGCACTTGTGTGCGTGGACCAACACATATCTACCTGTTAGGCGTCCACATTACTGGAAAAGTTCAAGGCAACATTTTAGTCCCCACTCTTTACCGCTGGGTTTGCCTCTTCCCCTGCTGCTCCTGGAGCTGCCCGGGGCGCGGGGCTGGCTCGGCCGCAGCCGGATGTCGGAGCCGGAGCTGCTCCCCACCCATGGCCTCACCCTTGGGCGTCAAAACCGTCCCTCTGGCCGTGAAAGAGCATCACCTTGCCAAAATCAACTTGCATTTCCATGTATTCAAATGAGAAAGATTGGGAAGGGCGACATGCCCTCCTGGGCAATCACTGGCCTTGGAAGGAAGGAGTGAATGTCACATGGGTCCCCGCAGAGAGCCAGGACCTGGTCCCGCGATGCCCGGGCGGTGGACAGGGCGCCCCTGTTCAGACCTGGGTCCTTGCAGCCCTCGAGCGACGCCAGCTACC